CTCACTGGTAGATAATGGCAAGTCCTTTCTAGAGAACGTCAAAGAGCACTCTAGTAGAAAGCAAGCACAGCTCCAAGTGGAGTTAGGACAGTACGGCTGGCTTCCACGACTTCACGGTGATGTCACAGCCCGTCAGTGCCGACATGGTCACCCATCTGCAACAGGAGAAAGGAGAAAGCACTGTTGAGACAATGACAGCAAAACAGGAAAAACAGTGGAGCGCTGTAAGAAGGGCCTAGTGTTATTGTATCTCACAGGTCCATCATAGAATCAGGCTTGATGTACACAGCGATTTGTTGGTGTGGGAATTTATACTTATTGGCTTGAATAAAGGACATCTCTGATTCTGAGACAACTCTCTCTTGAGAGAAAGAGAGAATGGCACCCTGTCCGGGGTGGACCCCTCCTCTCGCCCAGTGTCAGTTGGGATTGGCCCATGACCCAGTTCAGGAATAAGTGGTATAGATAATGGATGGATGGGCTTTAAAGCAGCTTGAAATAGATAAACTTTCAAAATTACACAAAAGTACAGAAGCTGAGTAAATATACTTTGTTACTTTCCATCACTATTTAAAGACCTACAGTAAAACTCATTGACACGCTGGTCTGGTCCTTTAACACATCCACAGCTCACATTCAGCCAGAGGCAGTGGCCACATGCCACAGTGAATTGCGATGCAGTCATTATTATGTACAGCACACGCTGTCCACATCCAGCAGCAGTAGGAGCCAGTTCATGACACCCTGTGCCTCAGTGTTAACTATGGCTAAGTCTTTTAACTGTCTCCTTCAGGCCACAGACTATTTCTTCCTCCTCCCACACTTCTTGAATAATCACATCTACTGTGTTAATCCATGCAGAAGTTGTGATAGTTTGCCTTTACACATGATTAAACCCTGTCAAAACAGCACCAAGGAAACAATGAATATCAATCAGGGCTCTGCCAACTTTATAGATTTTTCCCCAAAATTTTCAAGCGTGAAAACTGCTGAGGAGGGAAGATGACTAGATTTCTGTTTCCCTTTCTCTACATTGCCAGGGTCCCTCCGGGAACGACGGTGGGTAGGCTGATAGAGTGAGGAGAAGGACAGATGGAGGGGGCAGACGGAGAGAAAAGTGGTGATGGAAATGGGAAAAGGTGACCACAGTACATCTCAGCCCCTTATCACAAACAGGATCTCAGGCAATTAAACTCTTCACAGTGCCTTGTGGGGACACCAACGTGGCAGTGATGACACCCTTTACAGTTTCTCATAAGTGACATCCTTAAAGGTCTTGTTTTGTCTGAACCAGTTTTGCCTAAAAATGAAAACTGTTACACTGAAACTTTCTCTGTATTGACTAAACAACTAAACAAAGATTCTTTAACATGACAGTAAGTCTGGTTATGAGCCAACTGCAGCAAGTGTCCCAAGAACGTAAAGATGCATGTGCCTTACGTTTGATCATGCTGGAATCATGTTGCGCTTTGCTTCGTACAGCACAGAGAACGAAATCTTCTCACACCTTAAATGTGCTTCAGCAAATGAAGTTCTGGCTCGAGCGAGTCCTTGCTGTTCTGTAAACTCCACAGTCAGGTCAGCCCATCTGTGCTCTTCAGCATCATCTGCTTCATCACTCAGCCCTGCTTCCTCTGCCCTCAGCGGCACCATCATCAGCCCCTCAGGCAAAACACCCCAGACCCTCCACTCCTCACTCTGCAGCTCTCTGGCTGACCTAATTTTGTTGCATTGTTAATGAGTCTAAGTCGAGGGAAAGGGCAGAAAAATCCTGGTAGTTATATGGAGAAGTGAGAAGAGACTTGCCCTTGACAGGGCGAGAGGGCCCAGAGTATTACTGACTCTTTCTCTAAAGATAAGGATTAGCTTTGATCTGACATAACTGCTCCATGGCTCAATATTCCCATACAGTCAGCTTCCTTCTTCCTTTCTGCCTGAAATGCCTTTCATGTTCTATGGCACATCAATGCTTCATACTTCTCACAGGGTAATTTCTATTATTTGCTCACCTCATGCTTTTCCTTTCACATTTACTCTTTCCTCTCATTTTATACTTCGAGCCCTAAAATAATGTTGCAAAATAAATACTACAAATATGAGAAGAACATTATTAATTAGAGGCAGCATTCTGTGTACAGAGAAAATGATTTCCTACATCTTCATACTGCACTGTGCAGAATCAAAGACTCAGATATTAAGTTGTGTTAAAGAATTATTGTTTTTATTCATAATGAGCAACATTAACATGTAATCTGTAGCACCAATAATGTTTTAAATGCAACAGGTGAATATTACACCAAAACATGGTGCCCAAGAATTTATACAACTACTGCAATATTCAGAACAAGAGCTGCAACCTTTCATTAGATTAATCAGTTGGTTATTTTCTCATTTGATGATAGGGTTGAAAAATAAACAATACGAGGAAATAGTAAAAAAAAAAATATCATAGAAGACAAACAGGAATCATTTTTCTGAATCGAGAATTATTACATGTTTGGTATTTTATTAAAAAAACAAACTAATCAGAAATCAAAACAGTCATCAGCATCATTCGGATGTCATATCTAGGGAAATCATTTTAATGTTTTGTTTCACTGCAGCTCCAAAAGTCAACTCTCTGCAGCTGTGATGACAAAGTCATCACTTGAATGGAAGAGATTGTCTTGAGTAACGATGAGAACACAGCCAACCAGTCTTGTTTTGCTCTAAATGTAAGAAAGACAATGACAAATCGGGTTTTGAGGTCAACTAGGGCTGCAACTTAACAATGTGATTTACTGGTTCAACCGAAGTGTAACCAGGGCAACCTGGCTTTCCGGCAAAAACTCGGATGGTGACCCATTTTCTATCACACCTACACAGAACCAAAATATAAGTAGAAATGTGCAGAAGCAGGTTTAAACAAAAGTGTCCTGAACAAGTCTGTGGAGCTGAGACTGACAACCACATCTGCAACACAGCACATGCACAAACACTTACAGTAAATAAACTCTGTGTGCATTTGTAAAAGTGTGATTTATTAATGATGCAGTGACCAAGCAATGGCCTCCACTACCTCAACATGCCTGCGGTCCACTGACACACACACACACACACACACAGGACTGAAAGGTAACACACACTTAAACACACACATCCCCTCAGGCCCTCCACATACAATCAGCCAAGGAGAAAGTGTACTTGTCCTAGCAGAGTTAAAAATAACAACCACAGCCAGATGCACACACATGCACACTGTAAATACACACACACAGCTCCACCCAGCTCAATATAAAAAACTACCTGGAAACAGCAGGGGGAGATGGGCAGCGACCTACATGGAGGAGAAGCTTGTTAATCTGCGAACACTGAGATGGTCTGAACCAGGGAGATGTCAGCGAGATGAGGATGACGATGATGATGATGTGCAGTGTGATGTTACTGTTCATTTAGTGTGTGCAGGCTGGTTCGCTGCAGGACATTTTCGTCACCTGTGATGTGCTGTCAGGCTCAACACTTCGACCCATTAGAATCCGAATGATACTGAATTTTGAGGAAAGAAAAATATAGTATAAAATTGTACAGGTGTACCTAATAAAGTGGCTGGTGAGTGTATATCTGAGTATCGCTATAATGCCTTTGACTTCTCAGATAGTGATGACTGATAACCACCATGCCTGTTCATGAGATCCTTTTGTCTGTATGCGGTAACTACTCGTGTGAACAGATACAAGCTTTAACAAAAACACACGAAGGCCCTGTTTTTTGCCAATATGTGTTTTACATTTTTGGACATTAAGTACACAGAATAAACTGGCCTGATGATTGTCAGGCAAGTTCTGAAGCTTTCCACTTTCTGCATTATTAACTGTACGCCATCTTTTCTCGTGCACTTCCAAGCTATTCTAATATATCACCTTGTACTCCCCAAATGTTTTCAGCTATCTTTTCCTCCTCAGATATTAAACATCATCTTACACACATTTTAACTGAGCATCTCCGCACTCAAACACTCAGACCTCTAGTGAATACCGATACAGTCCAATGGATGCTCACTCACTCAGATGAAACCTAAACGCACTGTGCTGTGATGCAGGTGTTGTATGTTATGTTTATTGCTTGTCACTTATGCATGCCTAAGTATGAGACACATCTTAATCTCTGTTTGCGGCTACTTGTCATGAAGGCATCAATGAATAAAGCCTAAAGTGGAGACAGAATTGTCAATTAATCCATGGGAGATTTGCAGCAACATAAATGTCACAGTACAGACAAACATGCCAAAATGAATATGTTCTATTCCAAGTTATAGGTGTGCTGAGCCAGTGTTTGCATATAGTTGGGCTCCTCACTCTTACATCAGAACACATTCATACATTTAACAGCTAAAATAGTCATGCAGGAAGTTCTGAAGTTAAAGGATAACAGTAGTACCTTCACTGCTTTTCATGCCCTAGTGTGTTTTTGTGTGTGTTAACACAGAACTCACTAATTACAGCAACTTCAACTGCAGTCCATTTTTCATACATTTCATGTTCACTGTACAGAGACCGAGCTGACCTTGAGAAAATGTTTCATTGTATAGGATGGATATGTGTGTGAGAGAGATACTCTCACTGTAAGTGTAGTACAGTACTCTTAAGTGTAGTGAAGTACATCTATCTTTCTGAAGACCAAGACGTCTTGTAGACTTAAAAGTGAGGGCATTTGTTCAAAGTCATTTGGGAGTTGGTATATACAGTAGGGTCCTCACAAGTATAAAAGCACTGATTAATCCAAATGAGTTACTTCGAGATTAAGCTAAAGCCGCATAGATCTTTTGCATTCACACAAATTCACACGGCAGACCAACATCAAATTGTCTGGACACTGTTGACCTTTAGGGGTAAGGAAAGTCAGAGAGTCCAAACTGGAGGAAACCATTAAGGCAATTAGCTGAGCTGCACCCATAGCTGTATTAAAGAGAACTGGATCCCAGACTTAAAGATGGCACCCAGTCCCTTAAATGAAAATTGCTTGTCTGACGCATAAGCCAAAGGGTTTTCATCTTGTGTATGATACCTGATAAAAGAGAGTGCTTTTTAAATATTGTTGAGTGTATGTCTTTATGTTTCACCAGAAAGTATGATGTGTGTTTCATTGTGTGTGTGTGTGTGTGTGTGTGTGTGTGTGT